TCACCTCAGTGATGCTGGTCTCTTGTTACTTACAGCTGATTTTTCAGCCCCAGCTAACCAGCATCAATTGTCCCAGTAAAGCAAAGGTTTTCCTTCAGGTTCTGGTCTCTTCTTAACCACAACCAATTCTTCAGTCCCAGCCGACCAGAACTCACAGATTCTCAATCCAAAAATCTCACACAGACAGCCCTGATAGAGTCTCTGCTTTCCTTTGAAGCTTCACAAGCCAGGCCTCCATCATCCACAACTCTTTCAACATAACTGCTCCAAGCGCCACAGCAACAAACTCTGAGCACGCAACGGCTTTTCCAGCCCAAAGTTCAGAATGCTTCCACAATCCTCCTAAAAATACCAAGGTCAGGTCTGTCACAGCAATATCCCACTCTTTGGTACCAATTTCTATCCTAGTTTGTCTCTTCATTGCTGTGACAAAACACTGACCAAAACCAACTTGGGGAGGAAAGGGTTTATTTATCTTACATATCCCAGGTCACAGTTCATCCGGGAGCCCAAGGTAGGAACTCAGGGCAGGCACCTGGAGGCAGGATCTGGACCACAAGCCATGGAGGAACACTGTTTACTGGCTTGCTCCCCTGGCCCCTGCTCAGCCTGCTTTTTCATGCAACACAGGCCCACCTGCCCAGGGGTGGCACCGCCCACAGTGGGCTGGGCCCTCCCACATCACTCAGCAGTCAAGAAGGCCCCACATACATGACCACAGGCCAGTCCAATGAAGGCAATTCCCCAATTGAGGCTCCCTCAACCCAGGTGTGTCAAGTTGACACTAAAGCTATCCAACATAGTCTCCAATATTGAGCCTCATGGCCTCTGGATGGTTCTCTTGACTTGGATGCCAGAGATCTTGGATTCAACATGCCTTTCAGGGTCTATAAATTGCTTTTGCTTCTGTCACAGAGGCTGTGATGGGCTTCTACCCATAATCCTACATGCTTTATGCAATCACTCACTTAGCACATGATGACCATGGTGACACAGAAACAAAAAAATAAAGGCATTCTTGCAGCATAGGTGGCCACCAGGACAGCTGAACCCTGCCTGGTGAGGGTTTGCTCTAAAGCATTTCCTCGTTGGTTAGCCTCTTGCAAGGGCAAATGAGAAACTGAACATGCAAACTGGTGATGGTCAGGTCACAGGTCCTGGCCTGTGCTGTAGTGCTATAGACACTAGTGTTATTGCAGCCTCCATAGCTTCAACCCAGAACAGTTAGGACTTGGGTGGGTGATCATAGTTTCCCTAAAGCTTCCTCCCAATTCCAACTTGGGGATCACCAAAGAAAGCAAATGCTTGCTCTCAGGACTCTCACATGAAGCCTAACTGTCAGAGTTACCTCCAGATCCCATACGCACAGCTTTCCTAGAGCATACCTGGAACCTTCCCTCTGTCTATTATGTGGTAGTCCTCTCCCCTACTTACCTGTGATAAATGATGGAGGCTGATCCCTTGCTGTAGCAAGCTCTGCATACACAGTCTGCTTGTTCACATTTAAAGGGATCTCTGTTTATCACCACAAAATACACCCCATAATTTGATGATCACCCCTCAATTATACAGAAATATCCATCCATCCATCCATCCATTCCATCCATCCATCCATCCATCCATCCATCCATCCATCATCTACCAATCTACCTATCCACCCACACATCAGCTTGAACACCATCTATGAATAACAACATTAAATGGAAACAACAAGAACACAAGGATAGTAGCTGAGAAACACAGAAGTACTGTGTACACATATGTATACATACCCTGCATAAAAATACACATCTAGCTCCAGCTAATGCACAGCTACCTAAAATCTCTGGGGAGGTGGACTATCGCAGAGTGTGTGACTGAGAACCAAAGGTATGCCACCAGGGCCTCATCTAGGGCCATGCTGGACTGTGAATACAGCCTGATGTCAGCAGCAGGTATGTGCCCAGTAGGAGACATGTGTTCTGAGGTGGTGCATGATGCTTGGGAATGTGGTCTGGGAAACACAAAAGAGGTGGGCTTCTCCAATGTGCCAGTAGAGATGCCCAGCTTTAGGAGAAAGGAAAGGTGCTCGCTCCTCCCTGGGTGAGCACTGGGAGCACAGAAGTAAAAGGCAGTCTTGTCACCCAGTAGGACATCCTGGGAGGGCTGGGTCAGTGCCACAACCAGGTGAAGCAAACAGTTGAATGGGCCAGGGAGCCAGTTGGAACCAGGCCTCATGCAGATGTACTTTGGCCTTACCTCCTCAAACTTGTATGCGATCATAGCAAAGGCCTTGAAGATGGCATCAGTTGGGCCCGTAATGGTCACGATTCTCTCTGGGCAGTTTCCCTCCGAGATGTTGATCCTGGCGCCACTCTAAGGTGAGAGTAGAGGAAATGTAGCTGGTGACAGACGAAAACTGTCTAGTGTGGGCTTGGGTTCTCCATGCCTGCAGATATCAGGCACAGACACTAGTGCTGACCCATGTTTACAAATCTCATTCTAAACAGTGAAATCCTTGCCAATAATCCCCTTCTGAGAGGAAAATTTAAGGTTTTATTGTTTTTTGAAACAGCGTCTCATGTAGCCAAACTGGCCTCAAACTCCCTATGTAGTCAAGAATGGCCTTGAACTTCTAATCTTTCTGCCTCTGCTTCTCATGTGCTGGGATTACAGGCATGTGACAAAATGCCCTACCAGAGTGGAATTTTAATTAGCAAGAATCCCAGTGATCCTTAAGAAAGCCTGTGCCCTATGCATCCGAACTCTGTGTGTGCTTCATGTCAGAGACGATTACTCTGTGTCCCATCATCTCCGACGCAGGATGCAGGACATGGCAGGTCCATGAGAGCCACAGGCAGTGCTCTGAAACCCTCATGGCATGGACAAATTGACCTGGACATAGGGTATCATTCAAGGAAAATCACACTCACCTCTTCACGCATTTTCTTCACTGTTTCTCCTTTCTAAAATGGAGACACAGATAGGGAAATCTGTCACTACCAGGTACCGGATACACAGAAAGCACATGGTACAGCCCTGGATGCCAGGAGCTGCCAATACAGAGAGGATGGTGGGGCACTGCCTACTTCCAGTCTGTTCTCCATTCTTGCCTACTCCATGAGTCTCTTTACTTGCTGGGCCAGACAGTTCTCATACAAGCTGGGGGTGCTTCAGGTGAGGAAACCGAGGCAATGGGAAGATGGGTTCAGTTACCCAGGGCATAGCTGGCCAAGTGGGCAGACTCTGCTTGGACTCAGGCCTATTTGCACAGAGGTACCACAAACATGGTACCAGGATGGGTCTATGTGCCAAAGGATGTCCAGTAAGAGAGTATTCAAACATGGTTCAAATACCCTGTTTCATGGGTGGTGACTCTCTGAGATGTTCTTTCCAAAGACAAATATTGGGAAAGAGTTGGGACCCTGAGCAGTTAGAAGTTCCCCCACTAAACACAGGTGCAGGGTCACCAGAGATGGCAAAAATTCAGCATACCAGGAGGGCAGTGTCTGGCCCCCCAGCCTTTCCTCCATCAAAAATCAGGTTTCCAATTGATCCTTTCCCCTGTGGGAATGTGCCTTTTATTTCTGGTGGATAAAGAGGAATTACTACGCTTCTGGAGATTGTTCAGATTATAGGGCTGCTGAAGAGTACAAGCACAGTAATACTTTCCAGGGTATGAAGCCTAGAAGATGTACCAGCCACCACAGTGAGAGTAAGCCATCATAGTGACCAGTTAGAGCCTTGCCAGGGCCAACAGAGAACACTCCTCACTTGGCTTGACCAGAGCCAGGAACCAACCTCATGGTATTGCAGTGTAAAGTAAGGAGGGTGTTAACAGGGCTACCAGGGCAGAGGTCCCTGGGACCTTGACTTCCTCCAGCACAGCACTTTGAACCTGACAAGGGTTGTGTACTTGATGATGCCAATCAGCACCAGGCACTGCTGCTGTCTTTGCTATCCCCTTGCAGTAGAGACCCTGAGACAGACATTGTTCATTCAATAATTACCTTCCCAATGATGCTTCCAACTTCCTGTAGAAAAAGAAAATCACAAAAGATGTCATAGAGTTTAAGAGGAAAATACTCTGGGGCTAATGCTTCAAAAAATAGCCTATCTTCCTAACATGAAAGGAGAATTAATTTTTAAAAAATATTTTATTATTTTTATTTTTTTGTGTATGAGCATATTGCCTGCATGTATGTGAGTGCACCCATGTCATGCAATGCCATGGAGGTCAGAAGAGGGCTTCAGAGTCCCCTGCAACTGGAGTTAAGGCCAGTTCGAATGCCGCGGAGGTCAGAAGAGGGCTTTGGATTCCCCTGGAACTGGAGTTAAGAATGGTTTGTAGCCACCATGTGGGTGCTGGGAATCGAACCCAGGTCCTCTGCAAGAGCAGTCAGTGCTCTTAACCGCTAAGCCATTTCTCCAGCCCCTGAGAATTAATTTTTTTTTAGAGTATTGTGGATGGAACCAGAGCCTTTACCCCTGAGCCATAGCTCTGCCCTGTAGGAGAATTTAAAGTAGTGTCAAGAGGCTGCATCTGCGTTGGGCTGTTTATCTCCTCTGTGACCATTTGGTCACGGCTGGACAGAGGCAGAGCTGAACTTGATCAACAAACAGCCTGGGAGGAGGACATGGTCAGCTGTTTTCCAGATAAACAAGGAGGGAAGGCCACCCAGACAAGTAAGGCCTCAAGGAAATTCTGCCACAAACAGAAGGGATACAGTAACCCATCCCGGAGTCTGTGACGTAAGAACACTGCACTGCTGCTGCTATGGCTTGCTTTTCAAGGCAGGGCACTTGAAGAAGCATTGGCACAGCTGTAGCAGTCCTGTACCTCAATGTCCTGTACCTCAATGCCTGTGGGATGTATGATCACCTGGGCAAGCAGTCACAGCAGGAGCTATGGAGAACAACCTTTTTCAAAATCTGACCTGCTTTTCTCACTACAACTATGCTCTCAGCAACCCAGAGCTGCTGGTAAACCATGTGGAGGCCGCAGCACAGGCTCAGGAAACATTCCGGGGGGTGGGGGCAGCTGTGGCCCTCCTATCACAGGAAGTAGAGGCTGATCTATAGACAGTCCTATCTGGGGATGTACTAGGAGAAGGAAGGTAAGGGTACTCTCTCCACCACAAATAGGGACTTCTGGGTGTACCCACCTACCCTACAAGAGGACATGTTTTCTGGGAATCTGAATACTCCAACATTGCTCTTTCTGTGCCCAGTTCTGGACCAGCTGGAGACCCTGAACAGATGCTGGGGGCTAGATTTCTCAGGGCAGGATGAGCTTGTCTAATGCCTGTCCTGTTGGGCAGGGTGGAGAGATGTGAACACTGGCTATGTGGGGCAGTCTCCTGCTTGTAGGAAACAGGCACTAGGGTATTTAGTGACAGGCATGAGGTCAACCACAGTCTTGAGCAGTTCTGAGAAAAGTATAGTTTAGACTATATTTGCAATAGTTTTGTAAGTCTGAGAGGGTCTAGAATAAGAAGTGCAGAGCAAACCCCTGGCAGGAGGCACCCTGCTTTCTGTTCCACATCTACCTTTCCATGCATCAACAGGCGGATGGTCAGGGTTACGTTCAGGCCACCTTCTGAGACCTTGGATTCCATCTTTCTCCCAAAATGTAGTTCTGGGTGGTGGCCTAAGGTGCTGAGGGTGCTGTGAGGAAGGACAGCTGGGGCCCAGATGGCGTCACCTGGAACAAGAATGCACACTTGTGATCGTGGGTGCTTTCTCCAGTTCTAGAACCACCTCCTAGCCTGTAGGAAACTCAGCCTTCAAGGGAGTAAGTATGCCACTGTCACCAAAACAGACAGAGCCCACCAGGGCAGGGTTCTGGTCTTACCTAACCACATGATCATGGGACAATCACTTAAACTCTCTGGCCTCAGTTTCCTCCACCATAAACAGTATCTCTCCTAGGGGCCAGAAAGCTTAAGGAGCCCCAGGAGAGCCAATGCTGGGCTACCTGCCTGGTGAGCCTCCATTCTTCTAGTGTTTCTTCTGTTCATCTTCCTGTCATACCAGGGAATAGCCCCCAGGATGCCATGACCCACCTCCCTGAGGGGCTCTCTTTGCCCTCAAGGAGCAAAAATGGCTTCTCTACTCAAGTCCCTTTGTACGCAATCAAGAACAATCTTCCCTAATGTTGACTCAATCTCTGGCCACTGAACACTGCTGATGTTCTCCCACTAAAACCCTCAGAAGATAGACGACTTTCCTACACAGTGCTGGTCTATGCTATTTGCATGCTTTCTGTGGACAGTCTCTAATGGCTAGCTCACATAAATTAAGGCTTTGATTTATTACTTGCAGGCAAAGATAGATTATAGGTTGTAATGAGAGTGTTTATAGGAAAGTGACATGATGACTTTGTGCTACTGTGGGTGACATGGGACCAGGCTCTCCTGGTGAGTAATCCTCAGCACCAAGTTCTTCATGGGCTCCAGGCCTGTCACTTCTAAGGGAGCACACAAAGGAGACAACAGCTCACCCCCACCAGGGAGGTGCCAGCCATGCTGGCTAGACGGACACACATCCTAGGAAGGGCTAGAAGATGGCAGTAAAAGTCAGGGAGGACAGAAGAATGGAAGGAGTGGCTATCACAAGGGTTTTAGAATAGACATGAGCTGTCCATTCTATTCTGAGGCTGCCAGACAAGGGAGAAGGCAAATAGGGCATGCTAGACTTCAACTCTACTGGGTGGGCTTGAGAAGCTCTTTGGAAATTAATACCTCATGTGTCAGCTGGCTGTTCTGTGCAAAAAGCACAAGCAAATGTAAAGATTTACTGACCAGGACATTTATACAGGCCCTGAGGAATGCTGGAGCTCGTGAAGAAAGGTCTTAGAAAGGAAAAGAACATCTAGTTCAGGTGACTGATGTAGTATCAAGCAACACATATTTATATACAAATACCCTGTGATAAGCAAAGCCCTCTTTACAGATTCCTGTTTTTGCTAAGGTTTATTTATCAGGTATACAAACTGGATAACACTGTGGCCAGTCTGGGGCCCAGGTTGCCTTTTTAATTAAAGACATCTCTTACCCACCAGGGGGACAGCAGGGCCCTCTGGCCATCTGTTATATAAATATTTGCAGCCCAGGAAAGAGAAAGTGGGTCAGTGCCTGCCCCGGGTGCTTCTGGCTCCAGACTGTCAGCAGCAATCAGTCACTTGGGCCAGTGCCTTTCTGCATCCCAGGATGGGACACAGGGGAGGGGAGAGGAGGAGGGCAGGTGAGGGAGAGAATGACGCTCTGTAGACTGCAGGAGTGAGGAGCTGTCCTGTGAAGTAGATGTTCCCTGAGATTCAAGATGTGGATCTAAAGAAACAACCCTGTTTCTGTCACAGTTCAGAAGCCAGAGTTCTTGGCAGGGCTGGAGTGAACAAGCCCCTAGCTGACCCCACAGTACCTGCTGTTTATGATGACATGAGACTGTCCCAGGCCTTGCCTTCACCCAGCCTTCACTGACCTGGCTACCCAGAACTTCGTGGCTACTAGAGAATAAAGAGACAAAGCAGCTTCCAAAAGGAATGCAGTGCACTACTCTGCACACGTCTCTCGAGGCACACCAGACTGCTGGGCCCACCTGGGACCCCTTCTCTCTTAGGGTTGGGAGCCCCCTCCCCTCCTGAGGCTCATCCCTGCTCTTGTGGCCTTTTAGTTCATCTCTCTGTTCTCTTCAGTGTTGGGGATGTAAGATACTCAATCAGAGGCAGAGGAGAAACAAACACAATGGCGTTAAGGACTGAAGTGTGGAGAGACCAGGGTATTTTCTTAAGGCATAAAGGGTAAGAGTTGCTTGGCTAGGGCGAATTCCAAGACAGCCAGCAGCAAAGGGGTCTGGGCTACACTTGGTCAGCTGTGGTTTTAAATGTCACATTATGGATAGCATCTAGAGATAAGCCTTAATCCAGCACACGCCCTACACCTGAACTCCCAGGACAGTTGTCTGAGATAGGTGCATAGATTTCTGACATGGCATTTGATATGTGCAACAAATGGAACCCCTATCTTTTCAGACCTGCCTGCCTGTCTCTATTCAACTGCCCAAGTCAAATGTCTATCTTTCTCATCCCATCCTATTCATTAGCAAATCTTTCAGCTCTCCTGTAACCTGGATGCAGAATCCTGTGTCAATCCTCCCTGTGCTCAGGAGCAGCAAGGTAGCAGTGGTGCCCAGACAACCAACACTGACCTTCCTCTCCCGCTCACAGTAGAGTCAAGCCCAAATCCACAGGCCTGAGGGTGAATGCTTCCTATTGTCATCTGTTCTTTTTCCAGAGACTCCACTGTGGGCTTCTGTACTGGCCAGACTCTTGCCTCAGAACTAGGAAGCCCCTCTGTGCTGGATACCTTTAGTTGTGAACTTGACACACCTGCTTAGAGGGACTCTCAATTGAGCAACTGTCTCCCTTGGATTGGCCTGTGGCCGTGACATTTTCTTCACTGTTGAGTGATGTGAGAGGGTCAAGCCCACTGTGGGTGGTGCTATCCCTGGACAGGTGGTCGTCCTGTATTATATAAGAAAGCAGGCTGAGCAGAGGCCAGGCAAGCAAACCAGTAAGCAGCATTCCTCCATGGTCTGTGCTCCAGGTTCCTGCCCTGAGTTTCTGCCTTGGCTTCCCCTGATAATGGATTGTGCTGTAAGTCAAATAAACCCTTTCCTCCCCAAGTTGGTTTTGGTCAGCGTTTTCATCACAGCAATAGCAAACTAGAATACCCTCCTTCTAAGGTTCAGTTGGGAGCTACCTGGACACTTACTGCTCTTAGAACTGGCTCCACCAGCACACAGGATAACCAACTGCTTGCACTGGCTTAGAGATAAACTTTGCACTCCTGTGAAGACAGCCAACAACAAAGAAAGAGAGAAAGGCAAGCAGAGGTAACAGTCATCAAGAATACGAAAGCATGAAAGAGAGAAAGGCGACGGAAAGCTGTCTGAGTGTGGGGGATATTGTTGACGAAGTAGGCAGGCCTGAGGATGGGCCCTCCTGAAGACTCTTCTCAGTCACTGTATGCAGCCAGCCTGGGCTGTCAGCCCCAGAAAGAATGACCACAGCTGCAGAGACCCCCTCATTCAATCCCTGGGATGTGCTGGGCCTGCTGAGGCATACCTTAAGGGGTATATAGCTTTTATAAAACGTGATCTGGCAAAGTGTACCCTATAATATCTATAATCTTTAAATAAGAATGATTTTTTTTAAATGATCCCAAAAGCACAGGAAACAAAAAGCAAAAATAGATAAAAAGCTTCTGTCTAGCAAAGAAAACTATCAGCAGAATGGGAGAAAACATCTAGGACCCAAACCTCTGATAGAGAGGACATCTTAAAATAGATATGGATAGGATAGCAAGGACTTCAATACATACTTCTCAACAGAAGAGAAATGCAAATTAGAGAAATGTAAATGAAAACCACAATGAGATACTACCTCAACCCTTTAATGGCTGTCATCAAGAGAGTAAAGGTTAAGTTGCCAAGGAAGGAAAGGGACCCTGTATGGTATTGGTGGCAATGTAATCAGTAAGGCCATTACGGAAAATAGTAAAAATAAGAAGGAGCACTACCATATGACTTGGCAATCCCATTCTTGGACACATATCCAAATCCACAACAGTCAAGACATGAAATCCCTGCTCATATGATTCTATGGTAAAGATGTCAGCATATACAAGTCCCATGCAAACTCAGGCAGACAAAAGCCCAGCATAGAACTGGGAAAATGAACAGCAGGCCTCAATCTTATCTGAAGGAATGTTGGCAACTGATTGCTGCTAGGTGAAGAAGAGCTGATCTTCCTAAAACAAGGGACTCTAGATAGGCTGACTAGACCTCAGTGGATGGACTTGCACTGGGGAATGTTTGGGGACACTGACTTGACACAGTGGGCCTTCACAGGGATGACAGAGCATATGGGCTCCAGTGGGGAGCTTATGAGAGCAGGTGGGGACAGGAGTATAAAGATAATGAAGATTGATTGAGATGTTCTTTATGAAATACACAAAAATTCAATAAACACAAACTTCAAAAAAAAAAAAAGACATGAAATCAACCTAGGTGTCCATCAACTCATGAATTAATAAAGAAAGTGTGATACATACACACAATGGAATACTAATCTGCCCAAAAAGGAGGGGGGGAGCATGTCGTTCATCATAACATGGATGATCATGGATGGCATTAAGTGAAATAAACCAGGCATTGAATTTTTTTTTTTTTTTAAGACAGGATCTCACTGTATACCCCAGCTGGCCTCAAGCTCAGAGATCCACCTGTTTCTGCCTCCTGGGTGCTGGGAATAAAAGTGTGCACCACAACTCCTGACTTAAATGTGGAATCTTAAAAGGTTGAACTCACAGAAGCAGAGAGTGTAAGGTGAGTGGAGGATTGGAAAATTTGGTTAAAGGGCATAAAGTTTCAGACAGGAGGAACACTTGCTAATGAGATATTATTGTGCAGCATGGTCATTATAGTTCACAATATCATATTCCCCAAAATTGATGAGAGTCCATAGTGAATGTTCTCAGCATGAAAAGGTAAGTAGATGAGGTGGTGGATATATTAATAAATCTGATTGAATCATTTTGTACATACAACATTAACAATGAAAACTTAGTAACATATGAAAATAATTATACACAGTAACTAATCTTCCAGTAATGCAGGCTGGTTCAGGATTTGGAAATCAAC